GGAGAACCCTGTTGAGAGATCTCACCCAGTTGTGAGGAACAGGATCAGGGACCTTCTTAAATAAGCAGTCTAGCTGCATTTGGTAGAGCAGTTGTGCTGTGCTGGGGATCCCTTCATCCCCCAATTGATTTGGGCTCTCCAATGCCTGCAGGCTAGACTGACTGAGACACCTAAACAGCAAAGGTGGCAGCCAGCCTTCTACACCTGGGCATTTCATTCATCCCAGAGAGAAATTAGAACTCTGAAGGCTGTAGAACATGGGTGGGGATGGCTGGAGGCCCCAGCTCGGAGGATTGGTCCAGTGAGGAAAAATGGATCTGGATCCTGTTTAAAGCAGCATTCTGGCCATGCCTCCACAAAACAGCCATGCTGTGCTGGGAAACCACCTCTGCCCTGGTTTGCTGGGACTCTCCAAAGCCTGTAGGCTGAACAGCCCAGTTGTCCAAACACCAAAGGTGGCATCCCACCCCTCCCCCAGGGCACTCCATCCCAGGGAGAGATCAGAGCTCTTTCTAGAATACCCGCAGATGAGGGTGGCTGGAGGCCCTGGCTGGGAGGTCCCGCCCCATGAAGAAGAACAGATCAGAGTCCTCCTTAAAGAAGCAGTCTGACCACATTCTGGCAATGCAGTTGTGCTGCACTGGGGGAACCCTTCCTCAGACTGTCTGGACTCTCTAAAGCTTGCAGGCTGGAAGGGCTGAGTCGACCATACAGCTAAGATGGCAGCCTGCCCCTTCCTTTGGGACCTCCACAGGCAGGCTCCACCCTGTTGCCAGTGGCTGGTTGGAATTCCAAGGCAGTGAGTCTTATCTTGTGAGATGCTGTGGGAGTGGGTCTGCAGACTGACACTGCTCAGAACCCTGAATTCAGCCCTCTTCCTAGGGCTGGATTTTTACAGTTTCAGGTCTTAAATATATTTAAGTTTTTAACCCAATTTAATTTTTATATATAATGTGAGATAAGGATCCAATTTCATTCTTCTGCATGCGGATAGCTAGTGTTCTAGATGCCACTTATTAAAGAGATTATTTTTCTCCATTGTGTGTTCTTGGTACCTTTATTGCAAATCAATTATTTGTAAAAGTGTGGGTTTAATTTTGGATACTGTATCCAGTCTCACTGGTCAATGTGTCTGCTTTTGTGATAATATGCTGTTTTGATTACTGTAGTTTTGTAGTGTATTTTGATGTCAGGCAGTATGCCTTGAGTTTTGCTCTTTTTGCTTATAATTGTTTTAGTTACTGAGATCTTTTTTTGGTTCCATACAACTTTTAGGACTTTTTTTTTTTTTTCTATTTATGTGAAAAATGTTATTGTAATTTTAATAGGAATTTCATTGAATCTGCAGATTACATTGGGTAGTCTAGATACTTCAGTATTTTTCCAATTTATGAATATGGGATATCTTCCCCAATTTGTGTTTTTGTTCAATTTCTTTCACCTAAATTTTTGTTGTTGTGCAATTATTTAACACGCTTTGTGAGGCTGGAAGTTTGTTGTAACTCAGCCAAGTGCAAGATGAGGTCTAGTGTTTATTTTCAGCAATTATAGCCTTGTGGCTCTAGGAGATGAGATTCTCTCTCAGAGCACACTAGAAGCTCTTAAATTATTTATGCATTGCCTGAGCCAGAAATTCAAATCTCTGAGCTCATCCGTTTAAAAATTACTTTGTCCAGCAACATTAGGGGTAAGCAACTGACATAATTATATTCCTTAGTTTTCCACAAGTGTTTGAAAGTGTCATATACAGAATCACTAAATTACATGCCTCTTACAAGTGGTTGATCAGGAGTACTCAATCCAGATGTTTTGTGTATCACAATAAGCAGTTCATTCCATTAATCCTATAGACTATTAGTGCTCCCTGTACTGTTGGAAATAGACTTCTTAGCACTTGAAGTCCAATCAGATTAGAAAGCAAACTCTAGAAACCCCAAAACCAATTAAAGAAACTCATCCTAAAAGTTCTATTCCCCTAGAATAACTCCTGGTGCCACAAATCTGTATTAGGGTTCTTTAGAGATGTAGATCAAGATTTATCATGGGAGTTGGTTGACACATGATGGAGGGGCATAAGTCCCATGATATGCAACATGTAAGCTGGAGAAATGAAAGCCAGTGGTGTAGTGCTGTCCAAGTCCAACACAGCCTGAGAACCTGGGGGACACTGGTTTAAGTCCTGGAGTCTGAAGGCTAGAAAACTTACAGTTCTGATGTCCAAGATCAGAAGGTGTCTTAGCTCCAGAGAGAGGGTGCAAATTTGTCTTTCCTCTGCCTTTTTGTTCTATATGGGCCCTCAACCATTGGATGGTGCCTGTCCACATTGTGTGAGGATGGATCTTCCTTACTCGGTCTACTGATTCAAATGCCAATCTCTTGAGCAACAGCTTCACAGACATAGCCAGAAATAATGCTTTAGCAGCTCTCTGGATATCTCATAATCTAGTGGAGGTGACATCTAAAATTAACCATCACACTAGGAGAAGATAGATCACTTCTGGAGCTTGAATCTTTATAAAAACAGCCAGATGTATCCATCTTCTGTGTCCTCATCCTGGCCACTAAGTGCAATGATTAAGGAATAGGATATGGCTGCTGGGTTTTTAGTTCTAACTAGTAACTTTTAGAGTACTTATGGATCTTTACATATAGAACCGAAGACCTGCCATATACGTATATAGCTTATTCCAAAATAGAATATAGAATCGTCATCAAAATACGATATACCTTTTCTGAAAGTAATTATATGATGTGTGGGGGAAAGAGAGATCATACTGTTACTGTGTCTATATAGAAAGAAGCAGACATAAGAGACTCCATTTTGTTCTGTATTTGAGATGCTGTTAATCTGTGACCCTAACCCCAACCCTGTCCTTGCAAGAGACATGTACTGTGATGACTCAAGGTTTAACGAACTTGGGGCTGTGCAGGATGTGCTTTGTTAAACAAGTGCCTGAAGGCAGCATGCTTGTTAAAAGTCATCACCATTCTCTTAATCTCAAGTACCCAGGGTACTGCGGAAGGTCGCAGGAACCTCTGCCTAGGAAGCTAGGTATTGTCCAAGGTTTCTCCCCACCTGATAGTATGAAATATGGCCTTGTAGGAAGGGAAAGACCTGATCCTCCCCCAGCCTGACACCCGTGAAGGGTCTGTGCTGAGGATTAGTGTAAGACGAAAGAAGGCCCATTGGCAGTTGAGATAGAGAAAAGCATCCGTCTCCTGCCCGTCCGGGGCAATGGAACATCTCAGTGTAAAACCCGATTGTATCTTCTATTTACTGAGATAGGAGAAAACTGCCTTAGGGCTGAAGGTGGGACTTGCTAGTGGCAATGCTGCTCATTATGCACTAAAAAGGTTTATGGAGATATTTGCATATGCATATCAAGGCACAGCACTTTTCCTGAAACTTATTCATGTCACAGAGATCTTTATTCATATGTCTTATTGCTGACCTTCTCCCTGCGATGATCCTATTATCCTGCCACTTCCCTTTTTCTGAGATGGTAAAGATAATGATCAGTAAATACTGAGGGAACTCAGAGACCGGGTGCCAGTGTGGGTCCTCTCTATGCTGAGTGCTGGTCCCCTGGGCCCACTTTTTCTTTCTCTGTACTTTGTCTCTGTGTCTCATTTCTTTTCTCAAGTCTCTGGTTCTACCTAACGAGAAATGCCCACAGGTGTGGAGGGGCAGGCCACCCCTTCATGATGTTCGCACGTCCCTGTGTTCCAGAACCAGGCACTGCTTGCATTTGGAATGAATGGCCCACAGACAGTCAAAAGGACAAAGGAAAGGATGGGTGCAGCTATACATTAATAGGCTCACAGATAAAAATACACAAAACACACTCAATAAATTACTTATAGCTTAAAATTTCTTTTACATAAAAAATAGCAAACTGTAATACTTTTACTACCTTCTAGGCATATGGTTACGGAGCACTTGAAATATGGCTAGTCCAAACTGGGATATGCTGTAACTGTAAAATGTATTTTGAAGATTTAGTATGACAAAATGCAAAAACTCAATTTTTATATCAATACTGGTAATATTTAGGTAGATTATATAAATTCATTTCACTTGCTTTTTACCTTTTTATTTTTTAATTTTTTTTTACAGGTAGGGTCTTGCTCTGTTCCAGGCTGAAGTGCAGTGGTGCAATCATAGCTCACTGCAGCCTTGAGTTCCTGGACTCAAGCAGTCCTCCTATCTCAGCCTCCTGAGTGCTGGGACTATAGGCACGTGTCACTACACCTGGCTAATTAAGAAATATTTTTTAAGAGATGGGGGCTTTCCTATACCATGGTGTGGTATCTTCCTATACCATGGTGGAATGAAATTAGAAATCAATACCAAAAGGAACTCTCAAAACTACACAAACATGGCCAGGCGCGGTGGCTCACGCCTGTAATCCCAGCATTTTGGGAGGCCGACTAACACGTGAAAAAATGGTCAACATCACTAACCATTACAGAAATACAAAAACCACTCTGAGATATCATCTTATACCAGTCACAATGGTTATTATTAAAAAGTCGTAAAACAACAGATGATGGTGTCAATGTGTAGAAAAGGGAACATGCGATAGTTTGCTGAGAATCCCAAGAACAGAAAACCAAACACTGCATGTTCTCACTCATAAGTGGGAACTGAACAATGAGAACACTTGGACACAGGAAGGGGAACATCACACAATGGGGTCTGTTGAGGGGTGGGGGAGAAGGGAGGGATAGTATTAGGAGATATACCTAATGTAAATGACAAGTTAATGCATGCAGCACAGAAAACATGGCACATGTATACATATGTAACAAACCTGCACGTTGTGCACATATACCCTAGAACTTAAAGTCTAAAAAAAAAAAAAAAAAGGAACATGAATACTCTTTTGGTGGGAATGTAAATTAATTCAGCCTCTGTGGATAGCAGAGATTTTTCAAAGAAGTAAAAATAGAACAATCTCATTACTGGGAATCTACCCAAAGGAACAGAAATTATTATATAAAAAAGATATCTGCACATGTATGTTTATTGCATCAATATTTACAACAGCAAGTTCATGGAACCAACTTAAGTATCTACCAACAACTGACTGGATAAAGAAAACGTGAGAGAGAGAGATATATAGAGATACATATAAATGGAGTATTATGCAACTATAAAAAAGAATGAAATCATGTCATTTGCAGCAACATGGATGGAGCTGGAGGCCATTGTCTTACGTGAACTAAATCAGAAGTAAAAAATAAAATATTGCATATGTTCTCACTTAAAAGTAGGAGCTAAACAATGGGTATACACAGACATAAAGATGCAGATTAGACACTGGGGACTCCAATAGGGTAAAGAGTGTGAGGGGCAGTAAGGGTTGAAAAATTACCTATTGGGTACAGTGTTTAATATTTAGGTGATGAGTACACTAGAAGCCCAATTCCCACCATTATTCAATACACCCATGTTACAACAAGCACATATATCCCCTGGATCTAAAATAAAAATTAAAAAAATCCCACATTATCAATAAAAATGTGGCACAGTATGTTCAATTTTCTTTTCTTTCTATTTCTAGCATACAAGTGAGACCTTCTCGGCTATAAAGGAACCTGTCCATAAATCACTTAAAATGTGACTGGTTAATGATTTTTAGTAAAATACACCATGATATGTTTTTATTGGTTAAAGGCAATTTATTTTGAAATGCTGCTTTGGTTGTTTGCTTTCTGGAAACATACTGGAACACTTGTTTTTCATAAGCTGTCCTGGCAGTGGCACAATCCCATCCATTTTTTAGGCCTTTTAATAAGGTCATTATGAAATCTGAGTTTCTAGGAATACTCTGGTGCATTCACTTCATCTGCAAAAGCAACTGGCACAACCACCCCTTGCCGGTGCAGCTCTCGGAGAACATCTAATATTGAGTCTAGTTCTATGCGGAACTTCTCCAGCTCACGATTCTTTAACTGTGCCAGTCTTTTCCATTTTTCAACTTCTTTGTTTTGCTCAGTTTCCACTGCTTGGTGTGTTTGCTGTATTATCTGCAAATACAAAGATTCCACATTGCTATCATAGTTCATAGTGGTGGGTGAGGAACCTTTAACAATCTTAAAGTAGGCAAACCTGGGGTTTCTTTGGGGAACTCAGGTAAACTATAATGCTCTGCATGGATGCAGCATTTTCTGTCTTCAAGGAGTATATACATCCCAACTGTGTTAGGGACTAAATGTTTGTGTCCCCCTCAAATTCATATGTTGAAGTCCTAACCCTTAATGTGGCTGTGTGTGGAGTAAGGAAATAATGAATGTTAAGTGAGATCATAAGGGTGGGGACTTGATTTGATAATAATTAGTGTTTTCACCACTAGAGACACCAAAGAGATTCTCAGCAGAAGAGACACCAAGGAGATGTCTCACCCCTCTTCCTCACCTCCGCGCACATGGCACTGAGGAAAGATCATGTTAGAATGAGAAAAAAGGTGGCTATCTGCAAGCTGGGAAGAGAGACCTCACCAGAAACCTAACTGACCAAAACCTCAATCTGGGACTTCTGGCCTACAGAACTGTGAGAAAATAAATTTCTCCTGTTTAACCACCCAATTTATGGTATTTTGTTACATCAGCCCAAGCAGACTATATACTGTTCAAACAAGTAAAATTTCAGCACCAAGGCAAGTGCCTAAAAACACATCATGCCTTTAGATCTGCTATTTTAATTAATCTGTTTGTAATTAAGTATAGTAATATTACTAGTGCTAGCTATATAATTTAAATAATCATATTAAAACAATTTATTTCTTATAAACATTTGCTGAAATGACTTGAATATGGAACACCATGCCTTGTTCCAGGGTAAGATGTGTAAGTTTTTAGGAACCCATCAATAATTAAGAACATGATACAAAGTTTTGCTTTTTCTCCAGATATAAGGATACCAATCTTCAAGCACTTGAGATATAAAGTCTCATTTTTCTTGTAAAAGTTATAAATTTATTAAATTTTTAACAAGATCAGAATACACTGGAAACACTTTAAGTGGTAATTTTTGCTAGGGATGACAAAACTATAGCAAAGTAAAGGCATTTAAAAGTAAAGACATATATAAATATGTAAAATGATTTACTTTACCTGTTGAAGTTCCAGTTCTCTTTGTGCATGTCTCATTTCCATCTGCTTAATTTTCTTTTCTAAGCCCACGAAATGTTTCATCTCTGGTGTATGGTTTTCTTTGGCTTCTCTCAATTCTTCTAAGAGTTTTGTAACCTAAAATTGACATTGAAGCAAATTGAAGCAAATGAAAACCTATGATCACAAGAACTAATTATTTTTTAATAGGTAATCTTGAAAATCAGAATATTTGTATAAAATTTCTCTACATATATTAGAGGCATCTTAGATTGTTAGATTAATTAATAGCTTTCATTCTCTATATCCAGAAAGTAAAGGCTCATCCTAGCTCTGAGTTGACCTCACAGTCTAAGAGGTTCCAGATGAATGGACCATTTTCTACCTCCCAAGTATGGCAGTCTGGTAAAGGGGCTGAAAATGAAGTTGGCACGTTCTTTAATGCATTAAGTTTCACTACAACGTATTTGTTAGTAAGGTGGTTACTTTCAGAATTTGAAAAAGTATATTTAAAGCACTCAACACAGTATAGTGCCCCATGCACAGAAAGAGTTCAATGAAAATGTATTTTTCTTCTGTTAACTCTCTATAATTCTATTTGTAATTCTCTATGGCCCTATCACTTTATAATTTGTAGTAGTTCATTCCACAAATAAATGTATACATATAAAAACAGAGATAAGGAAGTACTGAGCCCTTTCTGTGTTGGCTGCTGTCTTAGGACCTGGGGATCCAGAGATTAAAGACATAGACCCCACCCTCATAGAGTGTAATGCAGTGCCTTCATATTGAGCTTGGGAAAACAATTAATTGTATCTTCTTTATTCCATATAATCATGAACAGAAATTCCAACAAGAATCAGATCTTGCTAATTGTTTACATCAAAAGGCAACAAAAACCAAATGAAAATGGATAGAATTAACAATCACTCCTGTTTTCTATGAAAACACCTATTACCTAATAACAATAATACCAAAAAATCCCAGTATCTTACCTACATTAGTTGAAAAACATGCAAAGATACAAGCAAATTAAATCAAAGGCAATCTATTTTAAATGTGGAGCGTCCCTGATGGTATCATCACTGAACAAAGAACTATGCAGACTATCCTTGGGATGGTTTGCAGAGAGCTCAGGGAGAGGCCTCACAGAACATGCTGTGCTGATGAGTGTTGGTTGGGCATAAAAACTGTATGTGTGAAAATAGTGTTTACTAAAATGATTGTTTAAAGAACTAATGATGACTAACCTAAGAAAGCTGATAAAGGCACAGTCATACACAGAATGGTCAAATATTACTTCAATTCCTGTAACCTTTTTAATGGTTGAAAAATGATTTTGAGTAACATTTCCAGCTGTTACTATCTTGTGATACACCTGTTCCTGGTACACCAGTTAGGAAGCTCCGGTTTTCTGAATGAAGCAGTCAAGTGAATGAGAACTCTAATATGGTGTGCTGTGATACAGAGATGGCCAATGAGTAGTGAGATAAGTGAGAACACCTTACTCGAAGAGAAGATGGGCCACAGAGAATTCCTAAGGCAGCTGTGCTTGAATTGAGTCTTAAAGGGTAAGTAGTAGTCAGTCATTACATTATGATGTGCTAGGCATTAGGCTAAGCACTTTACAGATGTTGTCTCATTTTTTATTAAACCTTATATATGTTTACTGTCTGATTCCTCACATAAAATGTAAACATCATAAGAGCAAAGATTTTTGTCTTTGTTCTCCTCACTATTCCTAGCACCTAGAGCTGCCCATGGCAGAGAGGTAGATGTTCAACAATTATTCATGAATTAATTAGTGCATTCACCTTTCGATGATTAAACATTCATTGGTAAATCATATACACTTAGAAATCTGGTTTTAGAAAAATAGAGAAAATTTCCTTTTAATTGCATGTACCTAAAAGAACCTTTAAGAATATAATGAAAATTGAATATGTATATATATTTTAAAAATCCTTTTATTTTAATGAATTATCCTATAGAGATAACTTAATAAACACATATAAAAAAAACACTTCCTGCTATGTACATATTATTAAAAAAACTAGAAACAACCCGCATACCAACAATAAGGGATTTGTGAAATAAATTAGTAATGATTAATAAGAGCCTGAGACCTAGAGTCACAGGCAACAGGTTCTAATGGTGGCATTTCTATATGGTGGTTGGTAAGCCTGGACAAGCTTTTTCACTTTCCTTAGCATCAGTATCTTCATCTAAAATAGGAATAATAGTAGTAACAACTCTTTTGGTTGTGATGAGAATCAAATAAAATAAGGCATATAAAACACTTTGTACAGTTCCTAGTACACATTAAACTTTTTAAAAAAATTATACTTTGTTCTGGAGTACATGTGCATAGGTTTGTTACATAGGTATACACATGCCATGATGGTTTGCTGCACCCATCAACTTGCCACCTACATTAGGTATTTCTCCTAATGTTATCCCTCCCCTAACCTCCAACCTCCCAACAGGCCCCTGCATGTGATGTTCCCCTCCCTATGTCCATGTGTTCTCATTGTTCAACTCCCACTCATGAGTGAGAACACGCTGTGTTTGGTTTTCTGTTCTTGCCTTAG